GTTGGCTCAAGTATGGTCTAGCAAGTTCTAGAGCAAAATTTGACTGAGATGGTCACAAACAACTGTTTAAGGCAATCCTTCATGTGGCTGGGGCTGCTGTTAACACAGCATGTAAGCATGTTTAAAAATAAAAATATTATCCAACCACACATATTTGCAATGTGTCAGACTTTGCAGGTGCATTTGAAGATGAAGGAGTTGGAACATTAGTGAAGATTTTTTTATCATGGGTGCTAACATGCTTTAGTAATGCCAAGTACATGCTGTGATCTTCATGGAACAGCTGCAATTTCAACAGCTGTAGTGATGTCACTTGGGCATGCTTTGTTTTAACTTAGGCTAAAGTTTTGTGCCACAAGGCAAGAAAACTTAGGGAAGAATTTGTGGTAAGTAATTCTTAACTACTACTGTTGATGTTATGAATTTACTGCACTTGGAACATCCCAGATGTGACTAGCAGAGTTCATTGGTTCATTTCTAATAAATGTGAAACTGCCTGTGGATGTGTAAATGTGTCCATCTGGTTTTCTGGAATTCTACTGTCACCAAACAGGCACCAAGTCCCAAAATGCACAAGTCTGTGACTAGCAAAGTCCCGTGGTTGCCTGTAATTTTTATCTTCTTCCATGATTGCCTCTTACAATAACTAATATTGAGCTTTGGGAGATCTTATCATACACCCAGAGGCTTCTAGCTCAAAGCATACTGAGGTAATTCATGTGGATGCCAAGTCATAGCATTACATACAAACCACTTTTCAGTTACTCAGTAGAAAAAATAACATTTCCACTATCCAGTGGGGGATAATAATTTTACTCTCTTGCCAGTTGCACATGTTATTCATTGACATTATTTTGTCCAGTGGGACATGGAAACAATTTGATTCTAGTCCTTTCTAGAACATTATTTTGTTAAGAGTCACTGAAAGGTTTGCTCAAAACTCTTTATAGTTATTAGTCTAGCATTAAGAGGTTTGCCTTTAATTGTTAATTCCGAAATCCAGACTTTTTTCTTTCATAGGACCCATTTCTTAAAGCCGCTTTTTTAAAAGATGGGTAAATTGTGTAATATGATTTCTAAATCTCCCTGCAATGTCTTTATTTTCATGTAGTCATCTCAGTCACTGAGCATGTTCTTTGATTTCATAATAAAGCAGGGAACCTGAGGTTAGATGATTTCTCGAAATACCTTTCAATTGCATTGCAAGAATCCAAACCAACTATTTGATTTTTGTTTAAATTTTTCTTGAAAAATTCCAGTGAATGAGGCTCAGCACCACTCAATTCCATTTATTTCATGCTTCACTACTCTTACCAGTAGAGTAATTTCATAATATTTCAGTTCAGTTTCCCTCCCTGCAAACAAGATTATTGTTTTTCACCCCAACTCCAGAATATGCAGAGAACAGTTTATTCCCTTCTCTGCTTTAGCCTTTTCTCTTTTGAAGAAAGTGTCCCTCATAGATTCTGCTTCTCTGGAATGTTTTCAGTCTTTTCTCCTTGTCATGTTCTCGACCACTGATTACTATTGTCTTCTCATCAAGAAGAATGACACTCAAAACAAAACACAGTTTTGACAAGAGTGTTTGCCTTGTCCTGATGTTTACAGACTGTGCCCTGAAGTACATGTCAATATGTTTACAGTTTACTCAACACTGTTGACTTAAATCCAGCCTGTGGTCTGCAATGCTTTCTGGATCTGTTTTAATACCAGTCATCACTCATCTACTTCTGTGCATTTGGTTATTCCTGTTTGTCTTCATTATCTTGTTCATTGTCAATGACTCTGGATTGCTGCATTCACTCTGGGTTCTGTTTGGATGCTGGTATTCTCACAGCCCTTTCCAGCTTCAAAGGTCACGAGAGTATCCTACCAGGCAGGTGCTGCCTAAATCCCATTGAGTGAACTTGTTGGCTGTAGCTATGGAGCACACAGGAAATGAGCATACTGCTCACGTGGGTCTGCATCTGATTTCGCTGTTCATTCAGTACATAGTCCTTGTCCCTTCAAATGCACGTGTTTCCACTTCTCATAGTTCCATTTCATTCACTTGCCAAAAGGTTAAACAGCACAACCCAAATTGTGTTCAGATTGTCCACTGGTATATTGCATGAGATGTGATGGATTTGGAAGGGTTATTCCAGACCAAGTTTGAACCCAGATTTTTTCTTCAATGAATATGTAGTGTTTCAAATATGTCACTTTTTAAAATTCAGCTTAAGATGGAGAGATCTGAAACCTGAAATTACAAGACTGATGGAAGCAGAAAGATTTGATTCTCTTTTTATGGATAAATTCTGTGCTTGTTAGGCCTAAAACAAGAGCTGTGGTTAGGTGTCAGAAGTGAGCCAAAGGCTTAGTGACCAAATAGTCATGTTGGGTTTTCAGTTCAGGTTTCAATATGCACAAGCAAAATACTCTCATGCATACAATTCCACATGGAAGTGGTGTAACAAATGGATGATGATGTGTTACATTTCCTCATCCCTTAGTTTTTTTTTATAACAGACTTTATTTTTAAGTGCTTTGAGTCACATTTTAGTTTCACTTCCATGAAGAAAGCTTCAGCTATATAAGGTCAAGTGGTCTGTTCATTCAGGATGCATCACTTCCTCCTAAGAGCTGACAGGTTGCAGAAGCTTCCTCTGTGCTCTGGCCACATGGGATACTGCTTTTTCCTCTTTATTTGATGTCTTTCTTCTGTGGGAGGATTGAAGATAAGTAGGAACTTGAGATCATGTTAGTCATGCTTCTGAGAGTATGATCTCTTCACTTAGGCTGATGTCCACCTCTGAGCTGCTTCTAAATACTTGTTGGACTCCTGTTGTGTTCCTCTCTAGTGCCAGCAGATACCTGAAGTCAATGAACCATTATAACTAAGAGTAGCTCTATGATACCAAATTTTGTCTTGCATGTATGTTTGTACCCAGCCGATATCTAATATCTTCCAAAACCATCCTCTCTCTGGTCATGCTCCTGTCATTCTGCAGGGGTGATTGCCAGCCTCTATGCACAGTTCTCTGGGCTCTTTCCGTCTTCACCAGCACCTCAACCTGGACCTCACACTCTAACATGGAAAGAGAGTATTTCCTGGGGATTCTGTTGCAGGAAGAGGATGTTTTGCCAAACTGTGGTCTCATCTTTGCCCTTCATTTTTCCAGGCTCTGATAACTAGCCAGGCAGCTGATACTGTAGCTGTGGGGCCAAAGAACATTGAAGGAGACTCTATAAAATGGTATAGCAGCCAGGGCAGAGGTGTATGTGTAGTGTTTGTTTGTCTAAAAATTTAATTTTTGTTGTAATAACTTATCCAATATAAACCAAACAAATAAGATGCACACCCAAAGAGCATCTAAATGCTCTCTGCCTTCAAGATCCTGTCTTTATTTATACTTTACCTACCTTGAGTTCCCTGGACTTCAGACTGAAGAACACCTAAATGCAAGTTTGATTTTTTACTCCTTTTTCATTCTTACTTATATACATAATGATGGAAATAAGTTGAAATTTAGATCACATCTCTGCATAGAAAAAGCCTAGAGAAATCAATGATAAATGTGCTGTTCATTGCAATGAAAATCACATGCAATGGCCATGCAGGTATTTATATTCTCCACCTGTTGGAGACTCACTGATTTCAGTATTTTGATAAGTATTAAAGTGGAATAGAAAAGTAAAAAAATTGTATCATGCCAAAAGACATGCTTAAAACCTAGAATATTTTTGTCTAAAACTGTATTACCATTGCTTACTTTGGGCATGAAGCATTCTCTACTAGCAGTGGTCAAGCAGTCCTGGTAGTTGCTGTCAAAAGAAGCAGTGAAGACATATTTTTCTTCTCACAGTCTCCAGTCTCTCATCTCTCACAAGAGATCTCTAACTCCAGAAACAATGCAATTGTAACCAGCTCCCTGCACAAACCTGAATCAGGAGTCCACAAACTTGCCCCAAATAGCTTTACCACAGGCAGTGGTAAACTCCACTAATAAATGTAGTTGCAGATTCCAACCACAAATTGTATTGCCTAACAGATTGCAATCCAGCAGTGCCAGTAATCATTTCAAGTTTCAGCAGTGCTCGGTGTGCCTGTCCACCACTGGGCTGTCAGGGCATTAGTCTCAGTACAGTCACACAGTTGTCAACTCTCACTCCTGACAGCTCAGAGCGAGGCACAGCTGTGGGAAAAGGGAAGTATTGTCCCACCCCTTTTATAGACAAGAGACTGAAGTCTAAGGACACACAACAACAATAACAGCACTGCAAAGAGTGGAGATGTTACCTAGTTCAGTCTTGAGTCTTAAGGACCAGACTTCATCAAGGTATCAAGGTTCTTCTTCCTATCATTCCATCACCAGTGTGCAAGGTTCATGTACCCCGACTACATAAAGCTACAGCTGTAGTAGCCTTTTCAGACACCCACGTGCATTTTGGGAAAAGAGAATTTAGCTTATGCATATCAAATTCTTCACTAATACTTAGGTTTTACTAAGGAAGGTTACAGTGAGATTAGAACTTAATAATGACAATTCTCTTTTGAGTCACCCTTCTATTTTCCAGAGAAGAGAAACATACATAAGAAGAAAGTTTTTTTAATGATAGTTAACATCCATAATACAAACAATAAGTTAAACACAGTAAAAATAATTTAAATAAAGCTTGAGGTTCCAGCCCTCATACAAATAATCCAAATCTACAAAACAAAGACAAGTTTAAAAATAAACCCAGAATAAGTCGGAGGAAAAAATATCACTTCCATATACTATCAGTTAAATGAATGGAAATAAATTTCTGACTTTTGATGCCTGCAGCATTTGACAAATGTCAAGTCCTTAAATCTTCTCCAGGGTGTATAGATAGATGTAGAAGTTGCATAATCAGACTTTCCAGGGGACACCTTCACACGTGACCTGGAAGCCCAGCAACTTTCCAATTTGCTGCCTTGCAGCACAATTCTTAAGTTAAATACATTAACTTAATACATAACAGTTTGTAATGCTGACTTAACTACTACTTTTTTCCCCCCCAACTTTTTGATGCCAAGTCTGATCACTCTCTAAGTACTGGTCTTAACAGGCTAGGTTTGTGGGACTCAAAACTTAGCATTATTCAGTACAATAAGGCGAGATTTTAGACTCAGGTCATGTATAAAATGAATACTTGAGTTAAGTAAGTTGAAACTGTATCTATTTCCAGAGCAAATGCTGGTTCATAAATGGAGTAGATAGCTATCTTGCTATGCATAGTATCATGCATGGGAATACTCATTTAAATGTTAAATATTTTAGCTTTCCACTGAGTGGTTTCCAGGTAATTCAGAGTAGTAAGATAAAATATCAACCCTCTCTCTGCCTCGTGCCTCAGGAACACTGATCTGAGTGACTGACCACACAAGCATTCAAAATGAAAGCCTCTTATGACATTCAGGTCTTCACTGTCCTGGTGTCAGTATAGGCAAAATTTTGTTCATTTCAGTCCAGCTGTCAAAAACAGGTCACTTTGGTTCAGGAAGAAAACGACTCTTGGCAGCTAGCCCATTCATGTTGGAGTCAATCCAGTTAAGGTATTGAGTAACTCTGGTGTAAACACCAGGCTTGTTTTCCTTTGCACAGCCATCTCCCCAGCTGACAATGCCATAAACCATCATCCTGCCATTGTGCTCACAGACCATGGGGCCACCGGAATCTCCCTGACAACAGAAAGAGAACATATTAGGTCATTGCAGATGGAGGCTGTGATTGTTTTTCTAGAGTTAAGCAAGCTACTGAGAACCTATGAGCTAAAGCTTTGATCTTTGAGAACATTGCTTAGATGGAACAGAAGGTTTGGCATCTGCTGTGACTTGAACAGTCTCTAAAGCTGAGATCTCTAGTTCCCCCTGTCAGGATACCAGTAGAATAGTTACCTTGGAAAACAACCCTCCATCCCCATCCTAAGTTTATAAGCATAGATATTAGACTAGTGATACAAGGTCAAGGCCAACATGCCCTATATTCATCACAGAATCAACTGTCTCCCTGTCCATAAGGTACTCTGACACCTGAGGGTGCTTGTTCTTCTCAGTGGCTCCTCCTTACTCTGCCCAGAAAGATGCAGGGAAATTAATCTAGTTTTGAGGAACCTGGAGGCACTCAGTGTCCCCTTAATCCACCCTTGCAAAGCTATAGTTAATGTGCAAACTGAGATTAGAGCAGTTGCTATATAGCTGTAATGGATATCTATCAGCTATTGCTTGAATAGATTGAAAATAAGGCCTTGAGGAAAAACAGAAGCTAAGACAGTGCACTTGCACCTCCAAAGGAAGGCCTGGAGGGGGTAAAACCTAACTGTGGATTCCAACTTTATTCCAGATATTTGGCCACACAACAGGTCAATTCCACTTGACATAGTAATTTCTAGTTAGAGACTCTAGTTTCATAGTAATTACATTAGAGACTCTAGTGACTAGTAGAGTTACAAGATGCTGCCAACTGATCCATGTAGTAGTGTACATGTATTTGAAGTTATTTAGAAAATAAACCAAACCAATTCTACCTTGCAGGCATCAATCTGCCATGTGGGATCCCCAGCACAGACCATGTTGTCAGTAACTCTAATATTGTCATAGTATTCATATTTGCATTTTCTCTGTGATATTAAGTTCACAGTGGCTGACATCAGTCTTTGAGCATAGAAGATGTCATCTGCAAAAACAAGAAGTATTTCATTGTTCTCACTCTCCAAGAAACAAAAAGCAGCAAGAAACCCCCCCATAACACAATTTCTGCACTTAAATTAGCATAACCATTCCAATTCTCCATTGAGGTTCTTACTTTCACCTTATGCAGTATTGGTTTGCTTTTACTGTTCATAAAAAGGTTTCAAAGAGAAAAACAAGTGGTCCAAACACAAAATACAAAGTTTAGTTTTTAGAAGGAAAGAGTTCAATAATTTTTGATGGAAAGTCTGCACAAACACAATCCCTTGCTAATCCTCCCACACAACTTAAATTTTTTTTCTGCTCCTCATCACATCAGGAACAATAAAAATTGTGGTTTATATTTTGCCTTACTTTGTATGGTTGATATGAGAGAGAAGCATCAGATAGGAAATGCCATAGACAACTAGAGAAGATCATAGCAAAGGTCATCTTCAAGAGGTGCACATGGAATACACATACAATGGAAAGGAATCCTTTTTTAACACTTCACAGATCATGGTGTAAAAATCACCACATTCCCACCATTGTGGAAGATCAACTTTGGGAAAAGAAGTCATTTACTTACAAAAATCTTGTTTTCCATAGCCAGCTATTTCACAGTGCGTATTTTCTTTTAAGTAGAGGTTCCTCTCTGGCAAGCAGACTGTTCTGACATACTTGGATTCTACTGCACACTGTCCAGAAGTTGTCCTTATCCTTATCAAAGCTATTAACCAAGTCAGAAAAGATACAGTTAGATTTGTAAAGTTTTCCCCTCAAGTTCTGAAAATAAGAATACTTGGTACAGTTAATGGGAATAGCTGCAATTATATTTAGTTCTGGTTACACACAGCTCCCCTCATTGCTTTTGGAACAAGTCATTACTTAATAACAACATCAGTTCCCCAACACTAAAATTAACAAGTGTTCCAACTTGCTTCCTCAAAGGATAGGGGCTAATACTCTTGCACAAGACTCTTTTGCCTGAGCTATCTTTAGATGTTTAAAAGATCAATTTCTGACTGGCTGTAGAGGGCAGTACCCACTATCCTGAATGGCTTACAAAGATATTCTTGGATTTTCTTTACTTCAGCAGCAGCAGGAATCTGGAAGGGGGGGTAGAGTTCTAAATGTCAAGTGCAAGAGTGAGAAGTCTGGTCTGTTCAAGTTGCAAAAAACCATCTCTGACATGGTTGCTTTAGGAACAGGCTTGTGAAACCCAGGTTTTTATCAAAGTCTGAATTAATTCAGGATAATCTTCAGCTAATGAGGTGGTTGATATGGCAATCCCATGCTATATGATGAAACCTACTGTGCATGCATTTTTTTCATCTTTTACTATACATACAGTCTGATCTTTAGACACATATTAAATGGCAGAAATGCAATGCTGCCACCAGTGCTTATGGAAAAGCCATGTCTTCCACAGGTCCAGAGACTGCTTGCCAGGTAATGCACCTGATATGCACCACAACCAAAACTTAACAAGTGCAAAACCTGTCAGCACAGGCTTAGTTTTCAGACTGTTCCTGCTTCCCCTTCTTCCCAGCTCTGGTTCTACTTCTTTTGAACGCACGCCACAATTATGCAGCCTTCACCTATCCCAGTGTTTTAAAGGCTTATATTAAGACAACACTTACCAATATCATTCTCATTGCCACCTGTGTCATCTGTAAAATCAGGGTGAGAGATGATCTCATCAACCATAAATACTTGTTCTTTATCATCAGTAACATTCAGTATGGACTTTCCAAGGAAAACTTTGTAGACTGATTTGTTTATTGGTCTTCTTGACCTGAGTGAGAGTAGAGAGATTGATGAGGACTACTGATTTCTGAAAGTAAGGTCAACAGCTGAGATCCAGTCCAGTTCTCTTTGACATTTATTTTAATGCTGATAAGAAAAAGTAAACTTTAGTTTGCTTTGAAAGTTGATCCAATATTCCGAAGAAAAGCATCCTAATTTTCCATTTGAGGGGATTAAGATAGGTATTTAGACATTCTGAAACATGTCTAACTAGTTGCTACTAATGAAAGGCGTTGGCCTTAAGAATCCCCTGCAGGATGCCAAAAGGATCAGCTTTCCATAGAAAAGTCAACAAAAAGCAGCCATAGATGTATTGCACAGCTCACCATCAGTACAACTATTAAGCTTAGGGAAGGGCTGAGGTAAAAATGAAATCCTGGCACCAATATACACTGAATTGTTAAAATTGCATCCCACCCAACTGTCCACATCTTAATAGTTCATTCTGCTAGATGTGGGCTCCCAGCGGCTTAATGTTTCTTTTGCTGCTCTTGTTTTGTTCAATCAAAGGAACATTCTTACTGTGGTGCATTCCAAAGGGTTGCTCAGGGAGCATCACACCAAGAAATCAGTTGAAGAAAGTGTCAACTAAGAAGGCCATGGAACTGGAAACTTACGGAGTGTGGAAGCAGTGTGCTGCTGTGAGCACCCAGCAAGGGTCGATGAGGCTGCCCCCGCACAGGAAGTGATCCATGCCCCTTATGTTTTGGAAGATGCCTGCTATCCAAGGCTGAGACTCAACCTCTGCCTGCTTTCCACCAACAATCTTGAACATCTTGCTAATGCTCCTTTGACCACATGTAGGCCCTGTGAAAAGAAAAATTTCATTCAGATGTTCTTACAAATAAACTCCAAACTTGTGCTATTAAAAATAAAATAAAATTTAAAAAAACAAACAAAACCCCAATTGTGTTGGAACTAATATTACTTACCACACTTCTCTATGTTGCAAGGTGTTTCTTGAATGGCAGATCCCCTTTTGGTGTAACACCAGGGTCTGCTCCTTCCATTTGGGTTTCTAAAAGATAAACAGAGTGTTCTTTTCATAAAGACAGTCATAGTATTTTAAAATTTCCAAGTGTTTTGGAAAAAACAAAAATATTTTGTTGTAATATATGTCAGGGGAAATATTGCTTCAGAAACTCACATTCCAAATATTTTTAGTCAATAATTCAGCTCTGTAATGTTATTTTTTAAAAACACATTTCTCAGGGAAGTATCTCTGGGGCTGTGATAATAAAAGTTTCCAAGATGAGTGCTGCTTTTCTTACCTGCAGTAGCTGTGTTTGCCCAGCCCAAGCTGCAAAGCATTCTCTGAGTAAGCGTGGTAACGACCCCTCCTGATTAGTGAGGGCAAGTTCCATGGCAGACATTTGTCTTCTGTTGCCATCCCTCTGTAGTTCTCCCCATTTTCAGTATAGCATGTGCTGTCAGTGTCTGAGAAAATAAATATTTTATTAGCAGCATGCTCTTGCGTATAATTGTTCTGTGACAGACATGGACAAATCCTTCAAATGAGGAAAAAAGTTCTTGCATTACACTCAAAACCAGATGCAAAATCCAGACTGACTAGATACTGTTATTAAATTTTCTCTATATGGATTTTGAGCATGCATATTAATTCTTTAACAGTTTAAGTGAATTTCACAGTCTAATAAGTTCTTCTGCTTCTGACCACCCACAAACTAGCTTGTTTTTCCACCCCAATCTAAAAGTAAGGTTGAGGTAAGGAACCTTCATGAGGAGGCAGGGACAAAGAAATTAGAGATCCTGATTTTGCACCAGCATTTTCTTGCTTCTCCTCATTTAGTCTCAGTACAAACTGCTAAAGGCTATCCAGTCATATCTCTGGGTAATGCTTTCACTTGGCATTTCATATGAATTCTTTGACTATCTTTTAGACCTTTCCAATCAATTTAGTTAGCAGTAAGGAAGACAGATACTCTACCTAGTTCACAGTGAAGCCCAGTGTATCCATCTGGACATATGCAACGACCAATTCCACTGAAGAGGTAATAGGTAATGCACGTTCCTCCATTCAAACACGGGCATTCTGTAAGTCAATGACATCACTGATTATAGGCAAAACATTTGAATGTGGAGATGAAATGTAATTGAAAATTAAGTTTTAGGTGTTTCAGTATCAATAAGGATCTTTCTTCTTGTACAAGTACAGGATAATAAGTTCCATTTAGGTTCAAATAGAACAGGCAGATGCTTACCCTTGTGGTCTGATCTGCGTTTATATTGCTTGTAGTATTTCCAGCTATAAATCTACAGGAAAAGAAAAAAAAGAATTTTTAAGGAGGCAGTTCCTTTTATGTGGTTTGATCATCTTTTCCCTACTGCATACCTTCAACTGTTTAGTTTTTTGCATGTAGCTACCTGCTGAACCTACTCTCTGGAATCTGGATATGAACAAGAAGTGCAACTCTAATTAGGCAAAGCAGAATGGGGAATAAAAACTAATCCCATGTCACGCAAACAAAAACCACCAAAAAAACCCAAAAACCCCAGGATCAGAAAAGCCCCACTGAACTGTGCCACTGCATCAGGTCAACATTGCAATTGTTTATGCTGTAGGAACATCAGCAGTTCTTAATGGCCATTGTCCCTAAAACAGGGAAGGAAACTTCACCCTCTCCACCAAGCAGTGCAGCAAAGATGCAACATTCATTAATTGAAGGTGCAACATTCATTAATTGCCCCTATCATTTTGCTGACCTCGGTGCTTCACATTTGTGCCAGAAAATGAAAGCCAGAAAATTTATTCAACAATGGATTCTTGTTCTGTCCTTCAGGGTTTTTCCCTCTGCTTTGCAGGCTGGGTCTGCCTTTCTCCATGAAATAAGATTAGGCTTTTGATATACTTAAAACTTACAGACTCTAATCCCGTGACAAGGGCACCCAGTGTTACTGTGAGGAAGATGAGTAACTTCATGTTGTTAGTTAACTTCTCTCTTTGTTCTTCTTCTATCTGTATTATTTAATTCTGAAAATAAAAGAGGAATTTAGTGTCATGCTGTAGCCTGCAGTGCCAGTTTTCTTGCCTCTGTTGTCTTCAGTTACAACACAACAACACAACTGATGAAGAATGAAGCTTTTACTTGCAGCAGGATATCTGCTTATTATTTCCATAAATTGAATTAGAGGTTATACTTTGAAGCTTTTTTTGTACAGGCAGCAATAAAACCAGATTTTTTTTTTTCAAGAGTGTAATTGAAACAGGGAAAGAGAAATTGGAAAAATCCATACTCCATTTTTGCAGTATGGACTAAGTTGGAAATTGGCAGATGTATTTAGCTGCTGCCCAACTGTTTGTACCTATTGAACTGACCATTGCTACCCTCAACAAAAGCACTGAGCATGCACCTTCAGGGTATGAAAGGGAAAACTCCGTTTTTCAGTCCCTCTCTAGTTATCAGCTGCATTTTGTTGCTGCTCAGCACTTAGGTAAACCTGGCCACCTGACTGAGTGCCTCTGACCACTGCCACCTCTTGAAAGTCTGCTGGTGATGTTGCCTCACTTATTTTCACTGTTAGAGGTTTACAACATAGTCTGTCTCAACTTCTTATATGCAACTGGATCTTGTAGCCCAGCAGGTATAGCAATCTTTCCAAAAGCAAATAATTATCATGTAATAACAATGGGGGTACAATAAAGTCCCATGTGTCTTTTCCCTCTTTTTAAATTGCAATAGAAGTCATGAGAGTATTTTTTTTAAGCTGACTCTTTTAGTGCTCTCTCACTTTTAGAAAACTGTAAAACTTCATTTTTAAAAGATTCCATGGGAATCATAGCTATATTTATATTAGCAAAAAAAAAGCAATGCAATAGAAGAGGATGCACAGAACTGAGCTGTACACTGTACCTGCTTCAGGTTTCTACAGCGGACTAATTTCAGTTTGGTCCTGCAGACTGAACGCCTGCTGACATGTGGATTGCACCTTCTAGTTTTACTTCATTTGGAAGAAATGGAGTGCAAGTACTCTATAGCTCATTATTGAGCACTCCTAACACATGTTCACACACTCAGTGGTGTGGACCAAAACACAGGGTATAGAGAAGATCACTAGATTCATTTGGAAAATAGACACAATACAAATTGAAAATGCTAATGCAGATGCAACCTCTGCTGTTAGGCAGGTGTCATAATGCAAGAAAGCAAATCATGCCTCGGGTACTTGGCTGTGCATGCATTTCAGATTCAGATGAAATTTTAGCAGATATACTTCCCTTAAACATTATTATGACAATTATTTTTAGCATTTGTGGCGGCAATGAAAGTAATTTATTCTTTGCGACTATAATTAGTTTCTCAGGCCCAGCCTCCACACCATAAACAGCAGTACTGCTGATTCCTTTAAAAATTCTGCTACACTGTGGCAGCTAGAACTGACCTTCCCCGCACCTGCGATAGCGCATCGAGTAGCATTTTCCTTTTTTAATTTCAATGCAATTTTAAGCGCAACCGTTTCATCCCGATCGATTCAGACGCGGCGCTGGTGCCTTTAGCTACCGGCGGGGTTGCAAAGGCACGGCACTTACCGGTGGCGGTGCCGGGCTGGCGGAGCGGCGGCGGCTGCCGGGGCGCTGCCCGCTGCGGGCTCTATAAAGGCCGGCCCGGGGCGGGGCCGCCGCCGCCGCCCTGGGGCGGCTCCGAGCCGCTCCGCTCCGCCCCATCGGGAATCCAGCGAGCCGCGATCGGAGCTGCGGCGTGACTCAAGGGGGAATTTTTTATGCTGCCTTTTAGTTTCGGGGAAGGGGACTACGGTCAGGGCGAGTAAACAGCTTTGTACGGGGTAGGATTTCTGGAAGGGGCTCCTTGGCAATTCCTTAGGGACATTTATAAAAGCAAAAGAGAAATGTGAGTGAGAGCTATGAAAGGAATGACGAGAAACATGCCTGGAGACTTGACAGAATGATAACAATGATAACATGTATGTATGTATGCATTAGCAATAAACACAGAATGACTATGAAACATGCCTGGAGATCCAAGCAAATGTGATGTATTATTCATATGGTACTACCCATAATGAGAGAAGCGCAAGTGATTTTTTAACTAATAGAGGATTAAACTCTTTCAGGTGTGGATAAAACACAGCCCGCTGGGAGGGAGTATTGGGTCAGAATGCACTTGAAGCACTGGGTGTGTTTTCAGAGAGCTGTCTGCAGCTGAAACACACAACATCGGGGTGAGCAGGGTGCAGTTCTCATGCCAGCTGGAATGTGTTAGGACTCGGGGCTTACAGCAGGTGCTAAACTCATCTCCTCCAAATTACTTATGCTCCCTTGGGCCTGAGCAATCGTGAGAAAGTGGTCATGGTTTTCTTATAATTTCTGCCTCCCAAAGAACTATTCAAAGCAGCTCATTTCATGAGATGAGGATGGAAATCTGAAGTGACAGATGTCTAAGAATGCAGACCCAGCACAATAGATCGTCTCTCCTGCCCAGATAAATGTGATTTTGTTCACATTATGCTGTGATGTTGTAGCAATGTGGTGAATAACAGCAAACCAATACATGATATTTTTGGGTGTATTCATAGAGTCTAGCTTCAGGTAGTGCTGGTGACTAAGGTGAGGTAGGTGTCCACAGGCTGTGTAGCTGATGAAGAGCAGTTTCCTTAGAGGTCAGGTCAGAGAAGTAGCTGACCTGAAATTCCCTCAAGAGAAATGTTTTCATAACTTGACAATTCAGAGCTTAAGGAGACTACGTTTCTATGTTTGCCATGTAACAACTGGTGTGACTATGGCTCAGCTTTCTTCTTCCCTCTCCATTTTCTATCTGTGTCAAGTCTGTGGTATAACCATACCTTTATTTAGGTACTGTCTGCTTACATGCTCTATTTCTTTCTGTTCAGATCTTCAGGCTCACATCAGAACAGATCTCACGTTTGCAGAAAGCACATGGATTTCACTTCACTGAATGGCAGGAACTGAGTCAAGAGAAACAGCTCAAGCTGGAAGTCCATAAGTGAGCATAAGTAAGGAATAAGCCTTTCTGAATTTCAGGAGAGAAATGTGTCTCACATTCTGTGGTGACTTAATATATCAACATCACAAGTTATTAGACCCTCTAGGAAACAGGGCAGAAAGTATAAGGATAGAATCCCCATGGCAGTCTTTATTTCAGAGGAGTGGCTGCCAACTAAACTTATCTCAAGGAATCAATTCTGCAGAGGGGGAAATAATCCAGATTTTAAAAGCAGTCTGGAACATTTACTCAATTAATTTTAATACACCAACCTTACACATAATAAATGAAGAAATAGGTCATAGTTAGATTCAACAGGAAGAGCAGGGAGAAGATTGCATGCAGGAAGAGGGTGGGATCTTCAGGCCTGGGCAGCACCTCTCCTTCCTCCTCCGTGCTTCCAAGGAAGATTCTCTAGGCCTTCCTCAAACTATCCTTCTGGGAAAAAACCCTAGAGCAACTGTTTCCTCTTAGATATTTTTGTTTCCTGAGAAGTGTGATCAGTTATCCTCTCTCTGAACCTTTTACCAAGTTTTGCCGATACCCCTGTTCCTAATTTTCCCCCTAAAACCTGCAGGTTCATACTTGTTTTCCAGATCCAAGAACCAAAAACTTTTGTTGTCTTCACTCTGACACAAGATACAGCAAGATTCAAATCTCCCTTTTTCTGCCATTTGTCATATACTCAGGTTTTGCTGAAATACTGTACTTCTTAAATACATCTAGAAGGCCCCCAGGAGAAGTGACTTGGGCTGTGGTGTCACTGTCTTTTAATCAGACTGGTGACAGCTGTGATCAGAAATTCTCATGTGTTTGCAGTGCTGCTTTAAAGCTATCCAATTTCTTTGGTCTAAATATTTGTACTGCCTAGACAGGTAAATGAGTTATAGTTGGCACTGGACTGCACTGAACTGAAAATATGGTTTAGTAGAAAGATATCCAAGCCAGCTGCAAATAAGTTTGTTCTGGTGTTCCAAGTAACCTCACAGCTGCACTATCTCTATGAGCATTGAATGACTCCTAGGGAAGCAGAGATGCATGAGATAATTCCCAGCCCCTGGATTCACTGAGCTGGCTGATGGCTGGCACAACAAGAGCTGAAGTGAAGTTTCAGGTAAAACAATTCCTTGGAACCTTGTCACGTGCCCTGCCTTAAGGCAGAGACCTTGGAAAATCTGTAGCATGGCACTTCTGCCATGTCCTCCATCTGACCTCAGAGCTGGACCTGCCAGCACAGATGGGAAATGCACATACTCAGTGAGTGGGAGGGATGAAACAGGACCGGTTCTGCTACCAAGGGATTTTTGGTAGCTTCAGGGTCAGCATTTGTTCTCCATTGCATGTCTGAAGAGTTTAGAAGGGCCTGGTTACAGGCCATGTCTTCTGTCCAGGACAAGACTGTGATAGGACAGAGAAAAAGCAGGTCTTTATAACTCAAAAGCAAAGTTGTTTGGGAAAAACAGTGAATAAAGTTAAATGCCTCCTGCAAGACTCTCAGTGGAAGTGGAACTTACTTGCTCAGTAGATACTGATTATGAGAAGTCATGAGGCTTAAGAGAGAAACGCTTGTACAGACTCGTGAACAAGTTTTTTATTTTGAGAGCCACGTTGTGCTTTCCACAGTTTATTTCCTTTTCCTTTTACATGTCCGTGGTTTCATCATTTTGGTCTCTTACCGAAATTGGCAGAGGTGTAGGCAGGATGGAAGGAGGAAAGACTTCTGAAGAAAAAGAGGTAATAAAGGAAGTGCTAGAGTGACCTTGTAAAAGGTACTTTACCTGCTTAGTAGGATTACAGCATCTACATGAGAAAAAGCTACTCACAACATCGCAAGTCATTTGCTTATTTTTTTAGTTAGGGCTGTTAATAATAGGGCTTTATATATTTCTCTTGTGTGCACCTGGATTATATCACAGAGTAAAGAAAATGTATACACCTATTATGAGATCCTAATATGATTTGAGTCTGCAATCATATAGCACTTCTCTAAAACAGAAGTCAGATGCAGTGGATGTAGCCCTGAAGAGCAAGTAGTATCAGAGCCCTGCCAGACAGTTCTTGGGTTACTGTGATTTTGTGTTTTAGGTTTCAGTTCCAAATAAAAATCTTGCTGATTCTTTTAATTTATTGTTGAAGTAACTTGAATGTTTCAGACTAGTCGGCCAGCCTGACTTAGCTAATTTAGGAAAGATAACATTCCATTCCAGCTAGATGAGAATACTGACCCTCAGAGAAATACAGGGGTTTTATCTCATGGTGGTGTACTGAAAGAGATTGTGAGGTTTGCATTGTTCTGCAGAAGTTGCTGTGGTGGAGGTATTATCGGTTACAGTGTTCATTTTCACAGCTGATGATAAAATATTAAAACTCTAGAGAAATACCATCCACCATGCATTGACTGTGGTGGTCCATCAGTAAAACCCAAAAGGCTAGAACTTCTCAGGGATTTAAATAACTCTATAAATATTAGTAGCAAGAACTGCTGCAGAAGTGCTGTTCTACAAGGAAAATTTAGGCCTGAGGCTTTATATTGCCTGAAGTCTGATGGTCTAGTTGTGCATGTTCTGGTTTATATCCAGCATAAGTAACATCAGAATTAGTCCTTTGACTACTAAAATGTGTGCTTTGCCAACGGGAATTTCAAGTCCTCTCTACTCCTGCTACATTATGAATGGAGAAGTTTAAATTTGCATAAAAGCAGTTATATGTGCTTAAACCTCTGTCATCTCAAATGAAAGAGCAGGGTTAAACCACACAGTGAGTATTTGCTTAGTGATTAAGAATACAAAAGTTAAGAAAACACCTAGAAGTCATGCCAAAAGATTGACGTGACTTGTCATCTCTGTAACAATGATGGCTTGTTGTTGTCAGTTTTCTTAAAGAAATTAGTTTGTCATTGAATTAAGTAGCCCCAGATATGGGTATAGAATTTACAGAACATAGCTATATTTACCATTTCTTTGTGTATTGGAGTGTAGCTTCAAACTCAAACTGTGTTTGGTTACAGTCAATTTGGGATTAGGGTAGAAAGGATTTTACGTCAGTCAGAAAGTGTGTCATGAGTTTAAGGGAAATTTTCCAGTATAAAGTTGATTTAGATTATTTTGTCTTCATCTTGAAAAACATGGGTACTTTTACAGTAAAACTTTTTGTATTCTCTCTCTGATGTTATTCAAGTTAAATTTTTTAATCAGTTTACTTCTAGCTCTTGAGATAATAACTGGAATTGCTGAATAAACCATTAGATTTTGAAATGTAAACAACTAGATTTCAAATGTTATGTTATCACTGTTCATAAAGTTAAAAATATAAAGCTCGCTCTTTAATCTTATTTTCTCAAATTACTGTTTGTATGAGTCCCAGGAATTTCCAGAGTAGCTGATTTTAAGTTGAATGTGATTCATAAAAATTCTTGTACTTTAATGACTCTTGATTACTTGTCAGTTGTTTGTGGTTGGAATCTGAAGCAAGTCGTGATCTCATTTCCTTTAGGTACAATTCAGCTACTCAGGTTTCTTTATTTAATTTTTCTTTCCTTTTCCTTGCTGCCTACTGCTTTTCCTCTTATCTCTGTTATCTGTGTGCGCAGATGTGGCAG